TTAAAAAAAATACATTTTATTGATTTTTTTACAGAGAGGAAGACATAGGGATAGAGAGTTAGAAACATCGATGAGAGAGAATCATCAATCAGCGGCCTCTTGCACAGCCCCTACTGGGGATGTGCCTGCAACTAAGGTACATGCCCTTGACTGGAATCAAACCTGGGACCTTTCAGTCCACAGGCCGATGCTTTATCCACTGAACCAAACCAGTTTCGGCCGGGCCTCTAGTTTTTAAATAAAAAATCAGTGTCAGACTTAAGGGAAACCTTCCATGCCATGCCATACATGGGCTTTTGTCAATGGTCCAACATATAAAGACAAAGGCACAAAAGTGATACTTATTAATTTTTTAAAGTAACAAAAGGCCTAAAAGTTGTTAATGTAGTCCCTTCATGAAGTACAGAGACTAACTTTAATTTTTCGAGTTCAATCAGTAATGCCTAACATGGGGCATTTACTAATTGCAGAGCACTGTTTTGTGTACTTGACCATTGTTAACTAATACAACCACCTTCGGAGGCAAGTTTATTATTAACATTTTACAGCTAAGAGGATTAAAGCTAAATGATTTTTTCCCAAAATTAAAGTCATGTAGCTACCATGTTTTTTTGAAAATAAGACAGTATCTTATATTAATTTTTGCTCCCAAAGATGCGCTAGTCTTATTTTCAGGGGATGTCTTATTTTTCCATGAAGAAGAATACGGTACACATTTATTGTTAAATGAAAATAAAGGAAATGTATTACCTGTATATGGTACGGTAGTACGGTAGTTGTCAACACAAACCAGACAAACTGTGAATCCTACAGTATCAAGAATTTACTCATTTATTTAATGACAATCATGTCATCATCTTCTGGAACATCATCATAACAATCCAATTCCTGAATTTCCTCGTGAATTTCTTGTGACTCCATTTCTTTCAGAATCAGTGGACCAAATCCCTCATGTTTAGCCTAGGGGGGCCTTATTTTCAGGGGGATGCCTTATATTTCACTCAGAAGGAAACATGTAAGTAGGTCTTATTTTCGGAGGATGTCTTATTTTCGGGGAAACACGGTAGTTAGTGGTAGAGCATGGATTCAAACCTAGTGTTTTGACTGGTATCAAACCTGGGACCCTTGAGTCCTCAGGCCAAGGATCTAGTCACTGAGTAAAATCAGTTGGGACAAGACTATCACCTTTTAAGAAAGACATTGAGCTGAAACTGGTTTGGCTCAGTGGATAGAGCGTCAGCCTGCAGACTGAAGGGTCCTCGAGTTTGATTCCAGTCAAGGACATCTACCTTGACAGCTGATTGATGTTTCTAACTTTCTATCCCTCTCCCTTCCTCTCTGTGAAAAATCAATAAAATATATTAAAAAAAGAAAGAAAGAAAGAAAGAAAGACATTGATAACAGTATTTGTCCTAAAATGCAAAATGGTGAGAGGTTTAGGGCAACTTATTTTCATAAGCAATTGTAGGAATTAAGGCTTTAACCTATAGAAAAGAAAAGAAAAGAAAAAGTAGCTCTCTACAAGTATTTTGTATTAATATATATCGTTAAATTGCTACGGATCTATTCTTGAAAGTCTCACTGTTGCCAGTGAGACTTTCAAAATAATTAGATAGTTTAATGTGGAACTTAAGAGCATGTACTTTGGAAATGAATTGGGTGGGTTCAGATCTTGGTTCTGTTACTTAACCAAGCACATGAATCTGGGCAATTCACATAACTCTTCTGTGTCCTTTTCCTTAATTGTAGAATAAGGGTTATGGTGATGATGATAACAGTATCAAAGTCATAGGTTGGTGTGAGAATTAAATAAGTGCCTGACACATGCTAAACATATAAGATTTTTTTTTTATTCTGCCTATATCCATTTCTCAAACTTAACACGATAAAATTATATTGCCCTGCTTTTTATATTTTTAATTAATTAATTTTATTATTGATGTTAGAGAGAGAGAGCAACATCCATTTGTTGTTCCACTTGTTTATGCATTCTTTGGTTGCTTCTTGTATATGACCTGACCTGGGATTGAACCCCCAACCAGGGCACATTATGTAAGATTAAGAATGAGTAGAAGTGATAGGTTGACTGATTTCAGAATATTTTAATTAGAAAGGATATTCTAATACAATTATAATTATCCAAATGAAGAATGGGAGATCCCCAAAGCTAATGCACTCCCTAGTTGTTGGTTGCTAGGCAAAATCTTGAACTGCCATTTATCACTTGGTTAGTCACATGCCACACATTACAGGTGAGGGAACCTGGGAATTATGATCGCTTTTTATAAGGAAGGTAGAAGCACACTGGGGGTACCCAGCAGTCACTGCACAGGTTTAAGCAAAGTCTTTGACCATGTTTTATCAGAAATCTTTCAGAATTTCTAAATTACAACAGAGGTTTATCTAGTCAGTGGTAGGCAAACTCTTTAGTCAACACAGCCAAATATCAACAGTACAATTGAAATTTCTTTTGAGAACTGAAAACCAACTTCTACGCATGGGCCACCAAGTTTCAATCGCAGCTCGTGTGAGCCTGCACATGGTATTTTGTGGAAGAGCCACACTAAAGGGGCCAAAGAGCTGCATGCGGCTCGCGAGCCAGTTTGCTGACCACTGACGTAGGTGATCTAGAATTCCTGTTTGTTAATTTATGATATAATTACTAGTTTCTCCAAGTAAATATATCATTTTACAAAAAGTTTTGTATTTATCTTTTGTTTGGGGAATACCACAGGATCTGCAGACTTTTTATTATTCTTATTTTTAAGCCTCATCTGAGGATATTTTTCCATTGACTTTTAGAGAGAGTGGAAGAAAGAGGGAAAGACAGAGAAACACATGATTGGTGATTGTTTACCTCCAGCAGGCACCCCAACCAGAGCCGGGGCTGGGGAGGAACCTGCTACAGAAGTACATGCCCTTGACTGGAATGGAACCCAGGATCCTTGGGTCCTCAGGCTAACGCTCCATCCACTGAACCAAACTGGCTAGGGCTCTGCAGAATTTTTAAACATGGAGATGGTTGTTAAGAAAGAGGAAATAAATGAGAACAATTATCTCCGTTGACACTGTTTATGATTTTTTGTTGTTGTTGTTGTTGTTTTTCTCTATGTAGACCTGGGACCCAAGAAGAATAATACCTGTATTGGGGTGCAGTGGATGATAAGTCTTCAAAGTATTTCATTAATGTTGCATCAAAGATACAAAAAGACAATAGACAGGCTCAAAATAAAGACTGACTTTTGTCAGAGAAGAAACCAGCCTAGGACATTACTTCCCACCATAAACTGCCTTTTAGTTTTAAAAGTTTTGTCTTATTTTTAATATATTTTATTATTTTGTTTTACAGAGAGAAAGGAAGAGGGATAGAGAGTTAGAAACATCAATCAGCTGCCTCCTGCACACCCACTGTTAGGGATGCGCCGGCAACCAAAGTACATGCCTTTGACTGGAATCAAACCTGAGACCCTTCAGTCTGCAGGCCCATGCTCTATCCACTGAGCCAAACCAGTCAGGTCTAGTTTTAAAAGTTTTCATTTCAGACTATCCCTTGAGGTTATTTTAGGTCTCTGAGTTTGCAAGGTTGCCACGCAGGCCTTCCCTGAGCTCATCAGTTTAGCATGTGTCTCCTTTTCCTCCACAGAATGAAATTACTGGTGCTATTGTTTAGCCTAAAGGAGGTTTAAAATAGTCACGCGTCCTAGTAAAACTACTTTATCAGAAAGTGACACTGCTTCTATGCGGAAAAACTTTATGCTCCTAATAATAAATAACAAAAGCATTTTTCCTTATTACCTCAACCCTGGGAACCAATCCAACAAAAAGGGTTGGAAAGAATGCGCTAGGAATATTACAACCAACCTACGACGGAAGGGTAGCGCGCCTGCGCAAGTCGTTATCCAATCAGCACCGAGTGGCGGGGCTCCGCGCGGTTGGCGGACTTCTGAAGAGCAAAGATGGCGGCCTGAGGCGTCCGGCGGCGGGCCGGCCTTTGGGCCGGCTGGGCCGGCTTCGGGCCGGGCCGGTGCTTCTGCTGGCTCATGCGAGGTAAGCCGAGAAGGCCAGCGATGGGGGACAAGCAGGAAGTGACGTGGGTACAGGAGCGCACGGAGCCTGCCCGCAGTTGGCACGGGCGTCGGCCAGGCGTAGGTTTCCTCCTGAGCTGCCCTGGGCGACGGCGACCGCACCCGCCTTCCAGCTGTGTCGCATCACCACTCGGTCCTCGACCCACCGCCGTCCACCTCGGTGCCAAGCCTTTGGCTGCCCGGCATGGTTGCGCTTCCGCAGATGTATAATATGTCTGGCAGCTGCTGCGTTGGCTTTCTTTTTTTTTCTTTTTTGAAGGGAGGCTGGTTTATTCATGGAGTGGAAAATGAATTTCTGAAAGAGTGTGGTAATAAAACATGAATAAAACACCTGACTGAGTTCTCACTGGAAACATAAAAACGGAATTAATTTGTGTTCTCCAGAGTTGGGAATTGGTGAAAAGCACAGAATTTCCAGGCTGTGATTTGGGAGCTGCCTGTGCTATTGCCACAAGGTGGCGCCACCTTGGCAGGGGGAACTGCAATGCCCTCCTCCCAGGCCCTCTGGAAGGAATCTCCAAAAGTGACTTCCAAACTAGGTAGTTTCCCCCAGTGTCTGGCAGGCAGGCCCTCCCCCCTCCCCTGGGTGCCTGCTGCGCTCATGGCTGGCACGCTACCCCAGCGTTTTAGGAGGGTGGCCTGGGTTGGGGCAGGTGGAGCTGAGACTATTTATTGCCTTCTCTCGAGTGATCCCGAGCTACCATATGTCCTTGGAACTTTCCAGAGGGCCAGCTGAGAAGTCGATGGAGGTGTAGTTAGGGTCCCTTTGCTGTCCTTTCACCCCAGAGGCCCCCAAAGGCGTGAGGGAAGAAGCTGGATGGACTTAACTTTCGAAGAATATGTCTTTTTTAAATTTATGTTTAGTACCTCCCTCCCTCACGGCATCGTATATTGATTGACATACGTTACAACTAACCTACAACGGAAGGGTAGCGCGCATGCGCAACTCGTTATCCAATCAGCACCGAGTGGCGGGGCTCCGCGGGGTTGGCGGACTTCTGAAGGAGCAAAGATGGCGGCCTGAGGCGTCCGGCGGCGAGCTGGCCTTTGGGCCGGCTGGGCCGGCTTCGGGCCGGTCCGGTGCTTCTGCTGGCTCATGCGAGGTAAGCCGAGAAGGCCAGCGATGGGGGACAAGCAGGAAGTGGCGTGGGTGCAGGAGCGCACGGAGCCGGCACGGGCGTCGGCCAGGCGTGGGTTTCCTCCAGAGCTGCCCTGGGCGACCGCACCCGCCTTCCAGGTGTGTCGCATCACCACTCGGGCCTCTACCCGCCGCCGTCCACCTCGGTGCCATGCCTTTGGCTGCCCGGCATGTGGCAGAATATGTCTGTCGAAGAATATGTCTTTTTTTACTTATTTATAGTCTCCCCCTCACGGCTTCGTAGTCACTGTTTGCCTGAGGCCCCGGCGTGCATCCGGGTCTGTCGCGGCTCTGAGTGTTTTTGTGTGTCTGGCCCGTTGACCTTGAGATTGGGCCTAACAATGCCCCTGGGATTTAACCGGAGTGCGCGGCGCACGTCCCCTGGCACCCTCACTCCGCTCCTTCCCGCCGCCCCCTCAGGCTTTAAAGAACCGGGAAACAGCTTTGTCCTTGTGTGACCTGAGGATTCCCTAATGGCGCATTCATCCCGGCCGACTCTACATCTCAGTGGAATTCTCCTTGATTTCAGTGTACAATTTTTACCTTTTTTTTTTTTTTTTTAAGAGAATGAGTTTGGGGAATTATTAGTGTAATTTGTGTAATGTGGTAGGGTTGCAAAGTATAATACTATCAGGCCTTTGTATTCGATTCCTGTTTAACATTATGGGGTATCTCTTCATTGTCATTTGGATTGTTATAACCCTTCAGTCAGTCTTTGAGTTAAATTGTTGGAAGAGTTCCTGTTAGTAGGTTTATGAATTGATGAAGCTCGTTTAAAAGTGGCATGTTAGTTGGGTCCAGTTCAAATGACATGTCACAATACAAAAGTGAATGTTTCTGGTATGGTCTTTGCTGGCCCTGGCTTAGCAGAGCTGAAGATATCAGGTAAAGGACTTTTAAATAAGATCCTTCTTTTGCTTTTGTCCGCAGTAGGTTTTTTCATGTCATGTAGAAGAAGAGAGCAGAGGAAAGGAAGAACATTCTTGCTCTACATTTCAGAGGGGAGTGGTCATTACTAAAGCAAAAGCCTTTTGTAGGGAGAAGAGTCTATAGCATCGTCTTTAAAGGGAACATTGTTCCCTAATAACTTGAGAACCACTGCTCCAAGAGTTTTGCATATTTATCAAATTAATGCCAGTGCAGGGAGAGAGTAGTAAGTTCTTTCTGATGATTCCTTCTGAATAGTTTTTGATAGCGATGATGTTTTATGTTTTTTAGAAAAGCTTGATTCATTTGAGTAATTTTGCATAAGAATGCACAAGTGAGGGCTGTATCCTTATTGTAATTTTCTTTTTATTTTTTTCTTATCACAGGAAGAACATTTTCCTTGTCTTTTAGGTGCTTTTATATTCATCTTGAAAAGAAAAAAAATCTGAACTCAGGATTTGGCAAGTGAGTAATAGTGGCTAATGCTTCCAGTACTCTAATGCTTCCAATACTGTTTAAGTACCTTGATAGCTAGATAGAAGTGGAACAAGAAACCATTAGCTCCAACAGAAGATGAATGTAAAAAGTGACCATAAATAATTGATATTCAAGATCAGCCTTTTATTTTCAGTAATGGTGCTGTATTAAGTAAAAAAAAAATTAAAAAAAAAGAGACTTAATCATTTGCCCAAACCAATCATTTTACTGGGTAAAAAATGATTTAATTATATTGAAAGAGTTCAGCTGATAAAATCTAAATGTTATTAGGCAAATTTTAGAATATATTCACTTAAGTTTTAATTATAGATAAGTATTGATACTGTAATTAATTTCTAAAGCTTTTCAGTACTTCTTTATTTCCCTAGTGTGAGTCTATTCTGTGCCAAGTATTGATATCTTCTGAATTTACTGCAGAAGTAGATTTGTTGGTCAAAGCGCAAGAGGCAATATGTACTCTCAGTTGACAATAGCTTATTTGTAAAATAGGGTTCTTACCTACTGTATTAGTTTCCTAGCGCTGCCATAACAAAATACCACAAACAGTGACTTAGAACAACGGAAATTTATTATCTCACAGTTTTGAAAATCAATCACTAGGAAGGGCCTTCTAGCTTTTGGTAGTTGCTTGGTTTGTGGCATAACTCCACAAGTGTGGTTTTTTGTTATTTTTTTTAATCCTCACCCAAGAATATTTTTTCCAATTTGTGTGTGTGTGTGTGTGTGTGTGTGTGTGTGTGTGTGTGTGTTTTATTAGAGAGTTGAAGGTAGGGAGAGGAAGGAAACCATGTGAGAGACAGACATACACGCCCTAATTAGGGCCGGGGATTGGGCCAGGGATTGAGCCTGCAACTGAGAAACGTGCCCTTGACCAGGAATCAAACGTGTGGACCCTTCGGGTCTAGCCTCAATGCTCTAACAATTGAGCACCTGGCCAGGGCTGTAATTCTAGTGTTCTCATAATATTCTTGCTGTGAGCGTGTCTGTGTCCTAAATTCTCTTTTTTATAAGGACCCCTGGCAATGGGTAAAGAGACACCTGGTTGGTAGTGTTGCTCTTACATATGTCAGAGGCAAAGAAGATATATAGTCCTTAGTTCATCCTAACTTGATGCCTGTGTTGGTGGCCAATAGAAACAACAGAAATTTTTTGTCTCATCGTTTTAGAAATTAGACATCCAGCTTTTTCATGCTTGGGGCATAAAAAACAAATTAACAGCTGTATACCCTATTTCACCTTTTTCCTATCATGTGCATTTGTCATCTTTTAAGGAAATAATTAAAAATATCCAAAGAAAGAAGCACGCTATAAATATTTGATAAATGACTGAGAAGTTTTTGCCTTAGGCAGTTATTTTACATTAGTAGAGTCTATCCATATCGGGGAACAGAAACTGTCCAACAAGCCCAATACTTTTTTTTTTTTAAGACTTAAAAATGGAATTTAAATGACAATGATCTACTGTGTTTTGTGAGATGAGATGTTCTAAATTTACTATTTACATAAAAAAGTACCCTGTTTCCCCAAAAATAAGACAGTGTCTTATATTAATTTTTGCTTCCAAAGATGCGCTAGGTCTTATTTTCAGGGGATGTCTTATTTTTCCATGAAGAAGAATACGGTACACATTTATTGTTAAATGAAAATAAAGGAAATTTATTACCTGTATACGGTACGGTAGTACAGTAGTTGTCAACACAAACCAGACAAACTGTGAATTCTACAGTATCAAGAATTTACTCATTGTCGAAAAACGGTTTGGCTCAGCGGTAGAGCATAGGTCTGAGGACTGAAAGGTCCCAGGTTCGATTCCGGTCAGGGGCATGTACATTGGTTGCGAGCTCATCCCCGGTAGGGGGTGTGCAAGAGGCAGCTGGTCGATGATTCTCTCTCATCGACGTTTCTAGCTCTCTCTCTCCCTTCCTCTCTGTAAAAAATCAGTAAAATATATATTTTTTTAAAAAAGAATTTACTCATTTATTCAATGATAATCATGTCATCATCGTCTGGAACATCATCATAACAATCCAATTCCTGAATTTCCTCGTGAATTTCTTGTGACTCCATTTCCTTCAGAATCAGTGGACCAAATCTCTCATGTTTAGCCTTGGGGGGGGGACTTCTTTTTGGGGGGATGCCTTATATTTCACTCAGAAGGAAACCTGTAAGTAGGTCTTATTTTCGGAGGATGTCTTATTTTCGGGGAAACACGGTATTAAAGGAGTACTTGAGTCCCGTGTCCTTAGAGGAATCAAGTGTATTAATTATTTATTAATGCATAACACATCGCCCGAAATTTAGTGGATTAAAACATTATACATTTATTATCTCACAAATTTATGTGGGTCAAAAATTAGGGAGCAGCTTAGTTGGGGGTTTCTGTCTTAGGGTGTCTTACAAGGTTGCAGCTAGATGCTGGCTGGGGTGGCAGTCATCAGATTAAAATCCATGGTGGCTCTTTCACATATCTGGCAAATTCATATTGGTAGTGGAAAACCTCAGTTCTTTCCAGTGTCAGCCTCTTCCAGGGTTGCTTGAGTGCCATCGTAATACAACATATGGTTTCTCCATCTATGACCTTTACCAGGAATTGAACCATTACCTCCTGGTTCATATGTTGACACTCAACCACTGAGTCACATGGACAGGCACTGTCCTTTTTAAAAAAATATATATTTTAATTGATTTTTCACAGGAAGGGAGAGAGAGAGAGAGAGCTAGAAACATCGATGAGAGAGATACATCGACCAGCTGCCTCCTGCACACCCGCTACCGGGGATGTGCTCGCAGCCAAGGTACATGCCCCTGACAAATCGAACCTGGGACCCTTCAGTCCGCATACTGACGCTCTATCCACTGAGCCAAACCGGTTTTCGCCACTGTCCTTTTTTTAAGTGCCAGTTACACCTTGGAGGATTCTCAGGCCATCTGAATTTCTATTCATCTCTGAAGATTTTGGGGTTCCCATGACCCTGTCAAAACCAACTTTTGGTTTTGTTGAATTTCGCTTATTTTTTTCTATTTTATTTAACTCTGCTCATATCCATCCCTCCCCCCCCTCCCCCCCCCCCCACTTCTTGCTAGCTTTCCATTTAGTTTATTCTTTTTCTAGTTACTTAAGGTATAAAGTTAGGTTGTTATTGTATTTTGAGACTTTCCCCCTCCTCCCCCCATTAATTTTTAGAGTGGAAGGGGGATGAGAGAGAGAGAGGGAGAGAGAGAACATCAATGTAAGGGACATGTTGATTGGTTGCCTTCAGTGCACACCCCATCCAGGGTCGGGGATTGAGGTACATGCTCTTGACCAGAATCGAACCTGGGACTTTTCAGTCCTTGGGCTGAAGCTCTGTCCACTGAGGCAAACCAGCTAGGGTTCCACTTATTTATGCATTCATTGGTTGATTCTTGTATGTGCCCTGACCATGGATTGAACCTGCAACCTTGGCATATGGGAACAACACTAACCAACTGAGCTATCCAGCCAGGGCAACCTATGTCTATTTAAATTTTAACCCATGTTGGGTCAGTGTATTTAAGAGCCCTGCTATTCTCACTCATTCAACAACTTTTTATTTAGTGCTCACCATAGGTCACACCCTATACTTAGGATTCTTCAGTGAACAAAACAATAGTCTTTTGGAGCTTACATTTTAGACAACATGGTAAATGAGAAACAGTAAGTACCTAATATAACAGATTTGCTAGTGTTTCGTGCTATGGATAAAAGGAAAAGGAGAGCTGAAACTGGTTTGGCTCAGTGGATAGAGTGTCAGCCTGCAGACTGAAGGGTCAAGGGCATGTACCTTGGTTGCTGGAACATCCCTAGTAGGGGTTATGTAGGAGGCAGCTGATTGATGTTTCTGTCTCATCAATGTTTCCAACTCTCTCTCTCTCTCCCTTCCTCTCTATAAAAAAAATCAATAAAATATATTAAAAAATAAATTTAAAAAAATAAAAGGAAAAGGAGAGCTGGGGAAAAGGGAAGTGGTGGGAGTTTATCTGTGGATAGGATGGGGGAACAATGTAATCCTAAATAGGAACTCAAAATAGACCTAATTGGGAAAATAGTATTGGAGCGCAGGTGAGGACATTATAGCAGATACTGGGGAAAGAGTCTTCTTACCAAAGCAATAGCTGATACAAAAGATGTAAAGTAGAACTTTTTTTTTAAAGAATCTAAACAAGTTTCTAATTAAGAAAAGGTACTCTTTTTGAAGGCTTGTTTGGTTTATATATTTGGAAAGAACTAGCTTATATCTTCTTTCCCCCTCAACATTACTGCTAGTTATCTTGCCATCAGAATTAAACTGCCTAACTCTAGTGGCTGGTACAAGTTTTGAATCAGTCTGAATAGTTTATATAAGGAAACTAGGGTCCCCAGTATACAAAGTCGTGCACCTTGAACGGGAATGTGGGCCGCTAGGCTGGGGTGGGTACAGGGGCTGGTCTTGGCTCATACTCCGTGCTCCTATCCCGCCCCCGGTCTTGTCTGTCAGCAGCCCTGCTCCCACCGCTGCCACTCCTATGTGCTGATGGTGCAGAGCAATTGGGGCTGGAGCCATCAGTGGGTGTGAGCGGTGGCTGCTGCCCCAATCACTCCTCAGGATTAGGGGGAGGTAGAGAAGACCTTGAGGGTGATTGGGGCAGGTGGGTGAAGCCCTGGCGTGTGGGAGCAAAGAATTTTCAGTAACCACCAGAGGCTCATCCCCATGACAGAGACAGGCACCCTGCATGGTCTGGAACCCCTGCTCACCACCATCCTGCTACGGCCAATGCCTGCCATGTTCCATGCTCTGCTGCCTGCTACTGATGCCCGCATGTCCCATGCACCCCCTGGTGGTCAGTGCACATCATCGTGATTGGTTGTTCCACCGTTCAGTTAATTTGCATATTAGGTTTTTTTATATATAGACTAGAGGCCCAGTGCATGAAATTTGTGCACAGTAAGGGGGGGTCCCTCAGCCTGGCCTGCACCCTCTTGCAGTCCAGGAGCCCTTGGGGGATGTCCAATTGCTGGCTTAGGCCCGTTCCCCATGGGGAGCAGACCTAATCTGTCAGTCGGACATCTTAGTATAGCTGTGGTGGTGGGAAAGGCTCCCACCACCACCGCTGTGCTTGCCAACTGTGAGCCCGGCTTCTGGTTCAGCAGCACTCCCCTTGTGGTAGGCAGCTTCTGCATTGTGCATCTGCCTCCTGGTGGTCAGTGCACTTCATACCCAATGATGGTTCCACAGTCCAGTTGATTTGCATATTACCCTTTTATTACATAGGCTTTATTATATATATGTGCCCTGTTGCCAGTAGGGTTCTAAAGGCCTGCCTGTGTATCTGCTATATCTTTTCCTTCTGTTACTTTGGCAACAAATGCAAATTCTGCAGTTCTCTTCAAATGTGATTCTGAATTAACTTACATTTGCCTGACATAGGTTTTGAATCAGAACTGTCTTTAACCAAAAGAGGTTATTCAAATTCAGTTTAGAGTTGAGGTGTTATATATACAGGCTATTCCCAAAAAAATGTATACACAAAATATCTGTAAATTCTATTACATTTAGAAAATGAAATGTATTTTAATAAACTGCTTTTATAATTATTCAAAGTGTGCATACATTTTTGGGGGGACATCTTGTATATGACATACTACAAATGGAGGGCCAGTCCTATCAGGATAGCTAATAAATATTTTTAAATAGAGGGCTAAGAAGACTCATTGCTATTGGCCATTTTTGTAAGCCAAAGTACTTTTAAGCTCTTGATATGTATCTGACTTATTTATGTATTTATTTTAATCCTATCTTGATGATATACTCATTGGTTAAAAAGAGGTAAAGTGCCCTGATTGATTTAGTCAGTGGATGGAGCGTTGGCCTGCGGACTGAAGGGTCCCAGGTTCGATTCCAGTTAAGGGCATGTACCTTGGATGAGGGCACATTCCCAGTAGGAGGTGTGCAGGAGGCAGCTGCTCGATGTTTCTCTCTCATCAATGTTTCTAGTTCTCTATCCCGCTCCCTTCCTCTCTGTAAAAAATTAATAAAAATAAAATTTTTTTAAGAGGAAAATATGGGGAGTAGAGAAACAAACATTGATATGAAAGAGAACATTGATTGATTGCATTCTGTCTACCCTGACTGGGAATTGAGCCTGCAGCTTTTTGACATACGAACCACACTCTAGTAGTCCAAACCACACTGGCCTGGGCTAACATTTTTATTATAAAGTATACATAAAATACATTTTATTATTTTAATCATTTTTATTTTTTATTATTTCTATTTTATTTTTTCAATATATTTTATTGATTTTTTACAGAGAGGAAGGGAGAGAGAGAGAAACATCGAGCAGCTGCCTCCTGCACACCTCCTACTGGGGATGTGCTCGCAACCAAGGTACATGCCCTTGACCAGAATTGAACCTGGGACCCTTCAGTCCGCAGGCTGACGCTCTATCCACTGAGCAAAACCGGTTAGGGCTCATTTTAATCGTTTTTAAATGTACAATTCAGTGCCATATAAGCGTATTCACACTGTTGTGCAGCCATTACTACCATCTATTTCTAGAACTTAACTCAGTATCCCAAACATCAGTACCTATTAATCAGTAATTCCCCATTCCATATCTCCCAGCCCCTAGTAATCGTGTTTCACTCTGTCTATATTTGCATATTCTAGGTACCTCATGTAAGTGGAATTATACAAATATTTGTTCTTTTTTTGTCCGACATTTGCAATTTAATGAGTGTTATGTTTAGCAGCAATGAACTGCTAATGTTTTTACGTGTTTGCCTTTGGCAATCATGATACATACAGTGTGTAGTTATATTTTATAAAATTTTTATTGTTCAGGTTGCTCTTATATAGTTCAAGATAATACAAAATAAAATGATTCATATGATTTTGAGAATTGAGTATTTAGACATCGAATTTGAAGTACAATACTGCTTTTAAACACATGTTTTATATAAAATCATTTAAGTTTTTCTATAAATCTTGCTTTTTTGTATCATAGTTACATTTTTTTTCTGGCTACTGCTTCTGCTTTTCTGGTGATGATACTGAATTTGGTGTTATGGTTGGACATTTTCTTTTACACAGAGTATAATTCAAAATATTGTTTTCTCTTTCTGTGTTAGGTACTATTTTTAAAAGTAACCTTCCTTATACAGAAGTACCTGTCTTAATCTTTCTGTTTTTATTTTGTATTTCTAGGTATTTCTGTGTTGTCTTCTGGAGTGGGGAGTCCTGCTTCTTCTATCCAACCACTTCCATAATCTTGAATTGTGGATATCCCTCCTCTACACTTGACCTCCATGATTTGGATGCAAAAGACTGCTTTTCTTTTTTCCCACCTCTCAAATTTAACACGGCGAAACTCCTAGGATGCAGTCAATCTGCCAACTTTTCCATGAAGAAAGAAGCAACTGACATGTTCTGCCAATTGCTTACTTGTGAAGAAATTGTTTTGCAAGCTGAAGGGTGATATTTAATTTGAAACTGGTGCTTAGATGGTGGAATTTGTGAATTCTTTACCTTTTATTCCCAGGAAGAAGACTATATAAATAGCCAGTGTAAGTGACATCAGGGTTTGTTTGTTTTTTTTTAATGTCTTCCCATTTTAGCCACTATCAAAAACATTCGACTGCAGCAGTAAATTTCAGGTGTGTTGTAATTTGAAATGAAAGAGATGCTAATATATATATATATATCCTGGCTCATCCGTGACATAGATGAACTGGATAAGAACAAAGGTCCAGCTTTGCAGTGAAATTTTGGATGTGAAAAAAACATATATCCATTAAAAAGCATAAAAACAATACCCATAAAGTTAATTTTATATATGAATAAGCCATCATAGTTTCTGTATAAATATATATTTTAACATATAAGTCCACCTTTTTTCTTTTTTTTCTTTTTTTAATGAGAAGGGATTTTTCTCCAAGAGGAGCCTGTTCTTTCTCAGAAGTATTTGGACATTTGGTATTTTTAAAAAATTTATTTTTTTCTTCTAAGGAAGGACCATATTGTGCTAACCCAATGAATGCTTGTTTGAGTTTAGTGAAGGTTGGTAAAGGAAAGGAAAGCTTTGAGTCCAGTTTTGGAATCCTTTTCACCTCCCTGGGATAAAAGGCTGCTATATTACAAATTATTTCATTCTTTTTTGTGGAGTTTTATGTAACACTTGGGACTTTTTCCCTATTGCTAAGGCTGGAAGAAAAGCGACTTAAATAGATTTTCTGTTCAGAAGATGTGATGAACCCTACAGTATGACCTGCCTTCAACTTTGGACATGGAGGAATCGGGGGGAAGGAGATGAGAAAATTTTCATATAACTCCCTTCTCCTAAGAAAATGAAGCAAAAAAAGCCTATACATTCACCTGGCTTTACGGCGTTTTACATTCTATAGCTCTATTTTTTGTAGAAGTATAAATAACTTTCCTTTATTGCTTTTTCTAGATGATAGCTGTAATGTTAGGCTGAAAATGCTGGGACTCAGGTAACTTTCCCCATTTTCATCAGAGAATGGGCCTCAGAAGCAATGTTCCCAAACATGTGTTTGGATCAGTATAAATTTAGAAGAAATTCAGGTCTGAAAAAAACCTCAAACAAGAAAAATAGTTCCAATAAGAAATATGGATCTTGCTTTTCCTTAAAGCTTACGCTATATGATGAATAGACTAGTATAAAGCTGTTCTTGCTTCAAAATTAGCAGAGGACCAGTGTGTGAATTCTCAGGTCTTGACATGAGAGGAATGAAACCATTTATGGGTCTTTGTTATTTGAGAAAGAATTTAAAGCCTCTTAGGAACAAATCATCCTAGATCATGTCTGTGATTTAGGGACTGCTTGCCCAGGGCCATTCATGTTGTTATGCTGAAAACAGGCGAGAGTGTTAGGACAGGCCCAGAATGGAAATGTTGAATACCCTAGATAATTGGTTTAATTTGCATAAGAAAACTTTTTAAGTAAAAATAATTATATAAAATGTAATTTTCCGTAATTGAGGGCAATTACTGAGTGGTGAAGCATAGGAGTAACTTTTGAGGTAGTTTAAATTTTTCTCTATGTAACTTCCCAGCCACTTCCCGATTCCTAATATTTTGGAATTATTAATGGCAGAATGGAATTTACATATTTGGGTCCTGTTTGTATATTGAGAATATCAAATGGAGAACTTGTATCTTCAGTTATTATTACCCATTTCCCTGGTGTCCTTTTGGCAACTTTTTAGGTGGAATTATTTGGCTAAAAATAAGGAACCCTGTACTATCAGAACCAGTGAAAACATCTCTGGCCCACTTGTTTAAAATATGTATCAGTCTCAACTTAGTTGCTTTATGTGGTTTTTTTTTTCTTTCATTTCATAGCTAAGGAAACTACTGTTTAATGTTTCAAGTTGTTTCTGCATCTTGTCAGCAGATAGCATTTAACAAAAGGCTATATTCCAGTTGTATTTGCCCAGTGTTTATTTACTACATCTACATTGTTTTTTTCCTGGTTTGGTCCCCTTCTTGATGACAAGTTTTCATTTTCTGCAGGATTATGCCTCAGGCGATAGCTGTGCCTGCTTCCTTTCCTTTGTGCATCCATTTTAGCTGGCAGTTGTTTTTTCTTTTCTTTTTTTGTTTGTTTTTTTATTTGAAACCGGGATATGTGCAATAGAAATATATATATATATGTATATTTTAATACTTGTGGACAAATGTTACAAGTTGTTTCAGAACAACAAAATCACCAATGTCTTCCATTTTGAGATGTGTATAGTTTTGTAAGCATTAGTGCTTGGTAGCATATTTGTAGTGCCATGTTAGGGGTTAGTGCATGAGCCTAGTAACAATTTAAACTTCAAGATGAATTATTATAATAACCAATAGTGTAAAAAGTGAAACATTTAGGACTTTTCTTTCATAAGTTTCTGTATCCATGATATTCTCCCTGGGGAGAGGAGATTAGGCCAAAAAGACTCATTTATGAATAGTAATGTGGGGTCACAATGTGAAATACTGTGTTTGAGGATATTTAACCTTTTCATGAGGTAGCTGGAAAACAGTTGCCGTTGTGTTTTATGAAACCTCAAATCTAAATGTGGCCCCATTTCATGATTCTGCTTTGCTCGGTTTTAGGTGAGATTGTTCTTACGCTTTTTTCACATTTTATGTTTTTTAGGTTTATAATTTTCCCATTTCTTTTTCATCAGAAATTATTTTGCACATCTTACTGAGATGCTATGTTTGTTGCTTGAGTGCCTTTCTAATCTGCAACCTACTTACACTTCCTGTCTGCAGCATGCCATGTGTCAGTAGTTTAGAGTGTCCTAGAATAATTTGTCATGGGCTTTTCCTATTTCCAAGTTTGCTGAATTGTGTATTGTTGAGATTCTAGACCTTTTCATGGAATTAGAAACGTAGCCAATAGAGCCTACCTAAGTTGCCATGTAATAACTAACTTTTGCTTGGTTATAGTAAGCTGCCTCAGACAGCTTTCACTTTTCTACTATCCTTGTAGACATAAAAGTTATTTTGTTCTGAGAGCATAAGATAGCGTCTTGTAGAAAAGAAATTCCTACCTCTAAAAGCTGCCTTGAGAACTTGGAAATGGCAGTTTTCTGAGGTGATTTTTAAATCTCTTAGGAGAGCCCAGGATTTATTCACAGGTTCTACAGTTAGCATGATAGGAAATGCAAAAACTAGTTTAATGTGGTGTCCGATGTAGAAGCAAGCTTAGACAAATAGACTCTTCTGCAGCAGATCTCCAGGGACCCAGGTTTAGATGTGCATAGTGTACTTTAAGTAGTTGTACTCTTGGCTCAAGTAGCTTAGTGCCTGCGAGAATCCATTTCTGAAAAGTAAATACTTTTTTAATACCTCTGAAAAGGTAATGAATGCAAAATAGCACAGTATATAGGAAAGTATGTTTCCTATTGCAAAAAAAACACAAAAAGCCATAAAACGAACTAATAATTTCAAGAGGTAGAATTTTAGCAATAACAATTTTAGCATGTATAGTAAGTTAGATTTGCAAGGTTGTACAGTAGAGTAAGTTTTACTAGAGTTTGTGAGGCTCTAGTCAAAAGGAAAAAGATGCTAGGTAAAGAGCATACAAAAGGTACTTTTAAAAACAGTGTATATGAATATATCAGTGAGAAATAGCAACTTTTATGTAAATTAAAGGTTAAAGATCCTATTTGTTTTCTATAACAGTGGGTCGAGCCATTGAAGGAACTGTTTCTACTGCTTAATGTGGAAACAAATCTCTTACTGATGAAGAAATCCCACTTAAGCTATCATGTGGGGATCTTGCTTATGATGTGTTTTTGTTGTTGTTGTATGCTTTATTTTTGCTTAAATAAGAACAATGCAACATTCCATATTCCCTCTTTCTACCTTTGGGGATTGATACAGATTTGCTGAGGCCAAAACCTAACATTATGTCGACTTATTGCTGATGGCTAATTGACAGTGTTAGGGACAAAAAACCTCCATTGCTACGAAAAGGGTTGCAAGCTTCAGACGTGTGGAACTGCTGCTACCCACATCACTGTAGGATTCATTCAGTGCTTAACAGATGAGGATTCTTGCACTTCACAACCAAGCTGGTGGTAAACACGATGTACTGATTCCAACTAGAAAGTGTTAAACCACAGTAACATAGCTAATGTTATACTTGTATCATGTAACTTAAGCTCCAGTTCTTTCTCCGGAGTCCTCAGCTGGCGGGTTAACAGCGTACTGAACAATGGCTAGGTCTTGCAGTTGAGCATCATTCACGAGCTTTTTGTGCAATTGGGCCAATTCATCTTTAAAACGTTTTGTTTCATTGGCAACATGCGGTTCTTTAAGCATGCCATATCCTGCATGAACTGGACACCTTTAATATTTTGCCGGCTCTGGTTTAGGATATTTCTAGCTTTTGGGGAACACTTTTTTAAAAATATATTTTATTGATTTTTTTTTTTTTTTTTTTTTTACAGATAGGAAGGAGGAGAGAGAGCTAGGAACATCAATGAGAGAGAAGCATCAATCAGCTGCCCCCTGCACATCACCCTGGGGATGTGCCTGCAACCAAGGCACATGCCCTCGACCGGAATTGAATCCGGGACCCCCTCAATCCCCAGAGAGACGCTCTATCTAAAGAGCCAAACCAGCCACGGTGGGGAACACTTTCGTGGCTTGAGAAACGACTTCTTCAGTTTTTGCTCTTCTAACTTGATGTTCTGCAGAGCTCTCTCTCTCCAGCTTTGAAACAAAGTCTCTAATGGCTCTTCATATTTATCATAAAGCGTCTCCATTGGCTCCTGCCACTTCCTGTAGCTGTCTCCCTGCTTCTGGGAAATGGTTTCCAGGTGAGCAGTGGCTTCCATGATGAGTTTTCTTCTCTTTGTAAGAAGAGGCCTTTCCGTGCCACCTTTATATTTGTCCGGCATTTTCGCTATTGCCTCCCCCACTGCTCTGTCATGTAGGTTTGAAGGAGGACTGTTTCCACCCTCGTTATCAACTACTGGACTGTGTCCTGGGGCAAGTTCCTCAGCCTCATGTGTTTCTTTGCCCCCAAAGTAATGGTTTTTCTTAGCCTGATCCTCCAATGGGGCATGGAACTCTGCTCGTGGCCTCCTTCCAAGGCTGTGCCATCAGCTGTGTCCCGGGATAGTCACGGACCTCCTGAACCTTCACACCCGTCTCCACTCCCAGCGCTGGGGCCCTCCCTGTTGGTCTAGGATAGACTGCAGGCCAGGAAGGCTTAGGATGTTTTTTTAGCATCACACTAATAGCATACTTTTTGCTTTGTCACCTTCTCCATTAGTTTCCTGGGTGCATTTTTAAAAAGGAAAAGTTTGTTGTGTATATGTTTTTAGGGTTAATAAGAACTTGGATAGCTGGTAACCTCATGCCTATGGTTAGTTTAGGAAGTTAAGATTTAAAGATATAAAGCAAAAGGATTAAAGGAAATAGCCAGAAACAGTACGTTGGGTTTTTTTGTTTTGTTTTTTAACATTGTCTATAGTAGATATGCTAGGCCAATAGTCTGTGACTACTTTAACAAGAACCCAGCAAACTAGTTTCTTGATGAGGAATCATGCAGCTCACATCAGGATAGAAGAGTAGAATAAAGGTGACTTCTTACTCCCTTTTACCTCATGTCATCTTGGCCATTTAGCACTTTGAAGATCCCTGAAAAGATGTGGTCTATGTTTCCTTGTTTTCCAAAGGAAAAAATAACTAAAAGATATGTGAAGAAGATCAACAAATACAGTGCCTCTTGAATATTTAATAATTACATGGCAACTCCAAAGGATAGTGAGGCTATACTAAATTTATGATAGCTCCTTTTTAAATGTCCTAGACCATCATTTGGTGTAAAAGACATTGGAATAACCAAGCAATATTCAGACATCTGCATGATCATGAGACACTAGGTATATTACTGTGATGTCAACAGTTTATTTAGAATTAAAGATTAACCTTAACAGCCACGTTAATAGTTCCAAATGCTAAAATGTGCTACAAATTTTTGTAGTTTCAGAGTATGCAGTTAGTTTTCAGTGTTGTGATCTCATGTTTATTTTTAGTGTACCTGTGATATACAAAATATGAAGAAACCCTTGGCCTCCAGGAGTTTACATTATCATGGTGCTGCTGGTACAAGCAAATTACTTCTAGTTTATTCAGAACATTGCTTGGCTATTTAGTCATACCATATTTGGAAGGATCCCTTGATCAACAGTTTTCAAAAGCAGAGGGCTATGCTAAATTTCAGGGCATCGATTTTGAGTTTACATTATATTAGCTCTGCTGTTATTAAACTCCTTTCCCCCTGGGAGCTGTGCAGGTAATGTGCTTAATGTGAATCAGAAAGAAGAAGAAAAGATTCTAAGAGCATTTTCACCATCCCTAAACCACTATGCTCCTCTATTCTATAGCAGTCAACAAATAACCAAGCAAAGTGTTCCAGAAGACTGTATATCTCTTTTCCCAGAGGCTTTGCATCATTCTACCCAGAAGGAGCAGGATTTGCAATTAAGCCTTTATAACTGAATAGTAGTTCTAATTTTAACTTGAGTGTGTGACTTTTGTACCTGAATTCTGAAGTAGCATTGTGATAGATGTGGAGCATCTGCCTGCATTTCTAAGCAATCACTTCATCCCCATTTTTGGTTGAAACTTTGCATGTATTTTTGCTATTCTAATTCTTCTAAATCCAGGGGTTTACTCTGCATGTTTATTAAAACTGAATCTGAATGAAAGTGCAAGCAATAGTGGCAGACCCATAACTCTGATTTTAGAGTACTAATATTTATTGCATGATTGAAAATGTCTAGTATTAAGTGGTTAGTAGTAATTATATATATATTTGCATTTACTAATGAAGCAATAGAGACTTAAACCAATAGCTTGAATTATTTGGATTATCAGTTTACATTTTCTAACTAAAGATGATCTTACTTCCATTGAAAATGGAAGCTAGACAATAAACAGGGGCAACCATAAGAAACTGTCAGGAATGGAGCATAACAGTGCTCATCACCCTCTAACCTCTTGCCTGATTCCATTAGTCCCCAAGCATGTTTAAAAACAATACAAAAGGCACAAACTAAGCATGTGGAATAAATAAATAAGCTGCTATGGTTATAATCAGAAAAGGTGCAGAGTTTCAAAGGATAGGGAATAGTGTGGAGTTAAGAACAAGTAGATACAGGGTTTGTCTGGTAAAGTTTATGTGGCTTAAATCTACATCTCATTTACTAGTATCTGGCAGTGAATAGAGGAAATGGCACATATTTTAAATGTTTCAGGATTTTCAGATAACTAGGCAACTCTTCTGGGTTGTACTGGTATTGATTGGTCATAAAGGACCCCAAAAGCAAAAGAAACTTGTGGAAATAGTCCTGAAAATATTAACACATCTATGGTTTGGTTTCTCTTTCATTATTGTATTACATTAACATTATTTTGTTGTTGTTTTTTTTTTTTTTAGTAGCCAGAGTTGTTTTATTCTTGATGTTTTGGTCAGACTGCATAATTTGAAGCTTTTGATGCCAAGTAAACAGGAGCAAGTTTTTACTTTTATGTTTATTGTAGTAGCTTAAATTTTTTAGACAATTCCTAACTTTGGAATAATCCAATTGATTATTGGATATTTTTAAATGTAATGGTAACTTTTCAGTAATTTACAACGGAATTAGAGTATGGTCATCAGTGTTTGGTTTCCACTCAAATATAGGAAGTAAGATGTCATTCCCATATGTACATTTTCTCTTTGCCACTTATTAACTTACCTATCAACCAATTAAGATTTATGGACTAGTTTCTCTAAATTCTATTCCCGTTATTCCACTAAGGCATATTAAAAGTTACTAGGAAAACAAATATAGATTCCTTAGGAACCCATACTCCTAAGCCTCCCTTTTAAGTCAGAATAGATACTTTAGGGTTACTATTTCCTAAAGATTTTGTCTTGTGGTGATGGTCTGCCATGCCATCAATTCAAATACATTTTTCTCCCAGGAACAAAAAAGATTCTGGCAATACATTATCATCAGTCCTTAAACAATAGTAATCATCTTGGCACTTAACTTAAAATCACCATCACTAAGAATTACATGCAGTGTTTCCCAAAGTGTGGTATGTGTACCCCCAAAGGTTCGGGAAGAGTTTGATGTGGGTACGCGTTGCACCGGAGTTTGGTGGGGATATGTACTGCACCGGGCTTAGCTGTGCCTAATTCTACATTCTCATGAGCGTTACGAAAATTACAGAAGGGGTACACAGATGTCAAAAGTTTGGGAAACACTGCATTAGAGTATTCTTTACATGGGGTTTTATGTGCTACCTGTCCTTTTAAGTATAGTGTTGCTCATTGTTTTTACTTATTTTGTATCTTCATTGCACCAGTAATATAGGCGATAATGTTAAAAGAATTTCATTGAATGTTTAAAGTATTACAAAAGCAGCTTGCTTTTTAATCTATGCATCTTTGGGAATCTAGAAAAGATTTGTTTTCTAAAGATTTTATGTAAAAAGGAACTGCGTTAAGAATTGGAAACTCTGCACCTGTGTGTGTATATATATATATTTTTGGCAATAAAGCAGCATGGGCTGAGAATGTACTGAAATTTCACTTTGTTGTTCCTTGGAATGGGTAATTTCTAATAAACAGTGCAGTAAATTAGGATGGGAAAAGGAACCTATACACAGACCTGTGCTAAGGTAGACTCCAGATACCTGAGGTATCGTTTTGTTGTCCAAGTGAACAGGCAGCCATTTGAAGAAAGAGACATTGTATTTATTTTCAAATTGAAAGAGAATGTTTATTTAGAAAGTTACAGAGGTAGTACAAGTGAGCCAGCTGAGCTGCGTAGGCTCAGGAAGCATTCCAAAGGCAGTAGAAGGGCCCTTGGAGTTTAGAAGAAAGACGAAGGTAACGTGCTTGGGGGGAAGAAGAGGAAGGGGAAGACATGGGCATGCTCCTGAGAATGAGAGCACGCCAAGAGGCATCCCCTTAAATTTAATTAAATGTTAGCTAAGTTAAATAGATTTTAATACTATAATTAATAAAGAACAGATGCTTCCCCCTTAAGATAAAAGGAGTTTTTTTAAGTAAAAAATTAGGCTTTAATAGACTTCCTTGTGATTGAATATTGTAAATGCAGAGGAACAACAGCTGTGGTTTTATGGTGTGACTAATGCAATAAATCAAGAGATTTTATTTAACACTAGTGGGTTCACGAAATTAGTGCACATTAAAAGGGGATTAATTAGAGTAAATAATTTAATATTGCTATTTGCCCTATAGAAGAAAATTAGTAAAATGTATATGAAAACCTTAATCCTGTCAGTCGGGCACACCATGGGACCCAGAGTCAAGTCCCCGCACACCCAAATGTGCCTCAAAATCATGTGAGACCCAGACCTAGTCGGTCCCCGCCCCCATTGGCCTAGATCCAGAACCAACCAGTCCCACCCTTGTCAAGCCCAGCAGGCATGGGGCATGGCCTGAAGTCCCGCAGCCCAGATGGGCAGGGGACATGACTTGAGGTCCCCCGTCAAGCCCTGTCAGGTGAGGGACATGGCCTGATGTCCTCCATTAAGCCTTGCCAGGTGGGGGAGGGAGAATGCAGCCTCAGGTCTCATGTCAAGCCCCACTAGCTGGGGGGGTGGGGGGGGTTGGTGGTGGCCTGAGTTCCCCCAACCCAGCACTGGGGGTGCACCTTGAGATCCCCTATCAAGCCCCGCTGGGTGGGGAGCACGGCCTGAGGTCCCCTGTTAAGCCCCACCAGGCAGGGGGGCATAGTCTCAGGTCCCCTGGCCCAGTGCTGGGGTGAGGGGCGCTGCCTGAGGTCCTCTGGCCAGGTGCTGGGGCGGGGGGAGCAGCCTGAGGGCCCCTAGCCCAGCACCAGGACAGGAAGCTCACCTAGAGGTCCCCTGTCAAGCCTTGCCAGTTGGGGGATGTGGCCTGAGGTTCCCTATGGGGGTGGAGAGGGAATAGACTCAGGTCCCTGCTGATTGCTTGTTAAGGCTCCTTATGGGAACTTGGCTTCAGCCATATTTGTGGAGTGATGGTCAATTAACATATTCTCTTTATTAGATAGGATACACTTACTGAAATACTCCACTCCCAAGTACTATGCTAGATACTGGGCTTAAAATAAGATGGCCCATCTGGCATGGCTTAGTGGTTGAGGATCAACCTATGAACTGCCCTCCCCTGCCGGCCAGATCACCCACAACTGCCCTCCCCTGCCAGCCACCTTGTGGCAGCCATTTTGTGATGATGTCGCATGAGGAGCATCGCCTTGAGTAATGCAAGGTTGCTGGTTTGACTCCAGTCAGGACACATAGCTAGGTTTCAGGTCAGGACACTTACAGAAGACAACCAATGTTCTCTCTCACATCCATGTTTCCCTATCTTCCTCCTCATCTCAAGCCAATAAGCATATCCTTGCTGAAAATGGTTTGGCTCAGTGAACAGAGCATCAGCCTGTGGACTGAAGGGTGTTTTTCATCAATGTTTCTAACTCCCTCTCCCTTTCATTCTGTAAAAAATCAATAAAAAATATATTTTTAAGCATATCCTCAGGTACGGATTTTAAAAAAATCTAGCTACACCTGAACCAAGTTAGCTTCCCTATTCACCACCACTTGGCTATATCATCTCGATTGTGCTAGTGTTAGCTCCTCTTTAGTGGTAGATTATCCTCCAAAGGACAACCATAATGAGGTTTTGAAAAAGAAAATTTGTCACAACCCGGTTTGGCTCAATGGAGTGTCAACCTGTGGACTGAAGGGTCCCAAGTTCGATTTGGTCAAGGGCACATGCCCAGGTTGCAGGCTCAATCCCCAATAAGGGGCGTGCAGGGGGCAGCCAGTCAATGGTTCTCTCTCATCATGGATGTTTCTCTCTCCCCGCCCCCCCCCCCCCCGTTTCTCTCTGAAATCAATAAAAATATATATATTTTTAAATCTCAATGCAGGTAGAGGCTTTTTTATAAGGAGAGAGAAAGCACAACTAAGAGATCAGGCGGAGGAGCTGTGGATTTGCTCACTCTCCCAGGAGTAAAGGGAGGGAACTGAAGGGGAGTAGGAAAAGGTGGGGAGGTGGCCAGGGGTAGTTGCAGAGCTCCTTCTCAAGCTTCCTCCCCTTGTTCAGAGGCTGTCTTCAAATAGCAATCTGTGGACTTATAGCTCATGGTTGGCAGAGAGAGGGGGGGGGGTGAGAGAGAGGGAGAGAGAGAGGGAGAGAGAGAGGGAGAGGGTGAGAGCCCACTCCCCTGAAACAGGCTGCTCTAAGCTGTAATTGAAAGCTCAGTAAGAAGTGAAAACACGGAATTTATTTACACTTTTTAAAAAAAATTTACTTTTATTGATTTCAGAGAGGAAGGAAGAGGGAAAGAGAGAGAGAAACATCAATGATGAGAATCCTGCACTCCCCACACTGGGATTGAGCCCAATACCTGGGCAGGTGCCCTTGCCCGAAATCGAACCCAGGACCCCTCAGGCCACAGGGCGACACTCTGTCCACTGAGCCAAACCAGCTAGGGCTCTTTACACATTTTAATAAACACAGGGTTGACTATAACCTTGAGAAAATGCAGAATATAAAACCTTTATTGCTGAACTGAAATGTTAATTCTTGGTTACAACTATTCATATAACTGTTCCATGTAGGAATCACAGTAAACATTAAGTACAACTTTATTACCGTATATTTCTTAAGATCATTCATGGCACATTGCCCCTTAATCCCTAAATATGCAGTTAAAGGTGTTTTCAGAAATGACTATGAAACTGAGCTAAAATAATTTCAGAAGTCAAGTAGATATGAATCTTGGCCAGAGAGCTCCTTAATTTCTCATCTTCTATAAACAGCTTCACAAATCATTTGGAAAATCAGCCTAGATGTACACATAATAAACCACATTTCCTGTCCATTCTTGAAGTTGAACTTTCTCAAGAAATGATTGAACAGCACCTGTCTTTGAAGATGGCAGTAAGGCCTGACCCTAATAATCAAGCTCTGGTTCTAGATCAGTTTTCTGTGTTGGACTGGTCAGGAGTCACTTCCTCCAGCATCTTCATCAATGAACTTAAGTGATTATGCGTTAGTATTATCTTCTCTTTTAGCTGGGAAGAGAAACATATATATATCAGGGCATCTACCTCTCAATTTGCTGATTCTAGAAGTCACTTCAAATTCATGCTAGTGATTGGGAGTTGGCAATGTCTCAACACGTTTCATTAATACATTTGTTCTCTCTTTCTAAAAGAAGTTATGTTACATAGAGTATAACAAGATCCTCAGATATAAGATTTCACATGAAAAGAGATTAGTCATTGTTACTTCTATCTTCCTCCTTCCTACTTCTGATCACCAGGTTTAACTCCAAAAATTGGGAAAGAAGACAAAATACCTTTCTTTAATATTCTAATGGTCTTTAGAAGTAGCTCTAATTGTCAGGTTTAGGAGAGATATTTATTGCAATCTGATAATTTTCAATAGTTCTTTTACCATAGAATAGTTGTATTAAGAACCAAATTTAGTGTTCTCCAGCATACAATATGTTCTTAGACTTATAAATAAAAATAAACAACATGGAATAAGGTAAAATGGATTAATAGTTTTCTGTTGAAGTCATGGGTAACAACAAAAAAATCTTTATTTCCACAATTTGCACAGTACACTAAATCTATTTTTTATGATTCAAAATATAAGCATATACAAAATTTATCAGAAAATTTTGCTTAAACAGGTAATTCTTAGTGGGGTGCCCCTGGACATAATCATTTTTCTTTTGCTTTCAAGAAATTTCTCTCACCCCTACCAGCCCTCAACCCCCCTGTCCGCCATGCATATCACTCTGGGTGTCATGATGTTTTATTTTTTTGTAAGTGTCATTTGTATAACTAAATGCCCATGATAGCAGCTTCAGACTGGAAAAAGCAAAATAAAATAATACACACAAAAAAAGAGAAATTTCTCTCTTTATCTATATTCCAATAGTTTTACTATGACATGCTGAGGTATATAGATCTCTGTGCATTTATCCTTCCTGACCTGTTGAAGTTTCAAATATGTATAGATTAATGCTTTCCATCAAACTTGAAAATTTTTAACCATATCTCCTTGAACATTTTTTTTTCTTTTTTTTTAAAAAAATATATATATTTTTTTATTTTTTTACAGAGAGGGAGAGGGATAGAGTAAGAAACATTGAGGAGAGAGTAACATCGATCAGCTGCCTCATGCATATATCTCTCGCTGGGGATGTGCCCACAACTAAAGCATATGCCCTTGACCAGAATCGAACCCGGGACTCTTCAGTCCACAGGCCAACGCTCTATCCACTGAGCCAAACAGGCCAGGGCTCTCTCCTTTTTTGTACTCCACTAAAGCATATTTAGGTGTGTTTGATGTAAATCTCTTAGGCTCAGTTCATTTTTCTTTCTTTATTCTCTCTTCTTCAGATTGCATAAGGTTATCAATCCATATCTCTAAGTTTGCTGCTTCTTTCTTTGGCCAGTTCAAATCCGTTGCACCCCTCTAGTGAATCTTTCATTTTAGTTTTTATACTTTTTTTCTTTATAAGTATATTTTATTGATTTTGTACAGAGAGGAAGGGAGATAGTTAGAAACATCGATGAGAGAGAGTCATCGATCATCTGCCTCTTGCATACCCTCTACTGGGGATATGCCCGCAACCAAGGTACATGCCCTTGACCGGAATCAAACCCAGGACCTTTCAGTCCCCAAGCCGACGCTCTATCCATTGAGCCAAACCGGTCTTGGCAGTTTTTATACTTTTCAACTCACAGGATTTTTATTTAATTACTAGGGGCCTAGTGCACGAAATTTGTGCACTGGGGGTAGGGGGATCTCTCAGCCCAACCTGCCCCCTCTGACATACTAGGAGCCCTCAGTTTATGTCCTACTGGCAGCTTAGGCCTGCTCCCTGTGGACCCAAGCTGCAGTCTGGCCTCCCTCTGTGGGAGGCAACTGAGCTGATCAGGGAAGGCAACAGCTCCATCCCCCTGCTGCTGCAGCCACTGCCAGTCACTGCAGCCACCAAGGTGTTTTTATCAACACAGACTCCAATCCCTTCACCATGAAAAAAATGACAACTTTCTTTAGGCATTTTCAAGATGTGTCTTTTATAGGATATGCATTTCTTTCTTTATTTTATCCTCACCTGAGGATATGTTTCCATTGACTTTTAGAGAATGTGGAAGAGAAAGGGAAAGACGAGAGCAATATCAAAGTGAGAAGAACACTTTGATTGGTTGCCTCCTGCATGAGCCCTAATCTGGGCCCCAGCCATGGAGGAGCCTGCAACCCAGGTACATGCCCTTGATCAGAATCAAACCCAGACCCTGCTGTTGGCAAGCCAAGGCATTATCCATTGAGTCAAATCAGGGCAGGATATGACATTTCTTAGCCCTCCAGCAGCAGATCTTTGTTTTTTTTCCTCCAGAAAAGTGGTGGAAAAACCTTAGATCACCTTTTTGGATTCTTATTATCAAAGTTACTAAGAATATTACCAGTGGCATACAGGGAGCTTAGCCAATGTGCAGTCAGAAAAGGTGTTTCCTCTATAGTTCACACCAATTGCGGGCTGGGCCCTGCCCAGGCCAAAGGCCTCTAAGGCAGGAGTGGATCCCCAGCTCCCTGTGATCGATCGCCGGGGGTCCGCTCCTGCCCAGGAGGCCTTACATCACAGTGATCTGGGTGCCAGGATGTTCCAGGGACACAGGCGCTGGGAGCCTATGTATGCAAATTAACCACCATGTTTTTTATTAATTTGCATAGTCACTGATTGGCTATGGGCATAGTGAAGGTAAGGTCAATTTACATGTTTGTCTATTATTAGGTAAGATAATTTCTCTCTAAGGGATAGCCTCTATTTGAAGAGACACTGTCATCATGCCTTTCCTTCTTTAAGCATGTTTTTCTTTAGGTTTTGGACATATTTATATTAGCAGCTTTGAAAGCTTTGTCTTCTAATATTTGGGTCCTTTAAAAGGCAGTGTTCATACCGAAGCCGGTTTGGCTCAGTGGTAGAGCATCTGTCTGAGGACTGAAGGGTCCCAGGTTCGATTCCAGTCAAGGGCATGTACCTTGGTTGCGGGCACATCCCCGGTAGGAGGTATGCAAGAGGCAGCTGATTGGTGTTTCTCTCTCATCGACGTTTCTAGCTATCTCTCTCCCTTCCTCCTCTCCGTGAAATATCAATAAAATATATTTAAAATAAATAAATAAAATAAAAAGCAGTGTCTGTTGTCTACTTTTTGTTGTTAATTATTACCCAAGGATATTTTTCCATTGATTTTTAGAGAGTGGAAGGGAGAGACAGAAACATCAATGTGAGAGAGACATATTGATTGATTGCTTTCCACACAACTCCAACCAGAGCTGGGGATCGAGCCTGCAACTAAGGCACAAGCCTTTGAGCAGAATCGGACAATGGACTCTTTAGTCCAGGCGTCCTCAAACTTTTTAAAGTGGGGGCCAGATCACGGTCCCTCAGAGAGCTGGAGGGCCGGACTATATGAACTACTAATTCCTACTGTAACACCTCGGCTGCGCTCACTGCCCAAAAAACCTGGCGGGCCGGATCAGACTCCTCTGCAGGCCCCATGCGGGCCGTAGTTTGAAGATGCCTGCTAGTCCAAGGGTGATGCTCTATTCACTGAACCAAACTGGCTAGGGCTCTGATGTCTGCTTTTTATCCAGTGTATGGGTCATACTTTTCTTTGTGTGTCTAATTTTTTATTGAAAATGGACAATTTATTTATTTACTTACTTTAATGGACAGTTTAGATAATATATTGTAGCAACTCTGGATACTAAACAGGACACACATTCCTTCCTATAGTGGTGGTTTGCTCAACTGTTTAGAAAGTTGGCTATACTATTTTATTTATTTTTTAAAATATATTTTATTGATTTTTTAGAGAGGAAGGAAGAGAGATAGAGAGCCAGAAACATAGATGAGAGAGAAATATGGACCAGCTGCTGCCTCCTGCACACTCCACACTGGGGATGTGCCTGGAATCGAACCTGGGACCTTTCAGTTCCATCCACTGAGCCAAACTGGTTTCGGCTAGACTATTTTATTGATGCCTGTTTCCCTCAGTGTGCTGCCTGTAGCTCCTCAGAGAACATAGCCTTGGGATGACTGGTTTTAGCAAGGCTCTCTGTCTCTTTCCTTGATTTCTTTGTAGGCTGTCTGCCTCCATTAGCACCACACCCAGCTATTAACCTCCACTAACTGCTGGCTGATTGCTATATTGTTTTCAACAATGTCCTGGGATGTAAATTGCTCCATAGTCTAATCCAATTACATTTAGACACTTAATAGGGATAACCTTTATTAAAGCCAGTTCCAACTCCAGGAGGCCTGCTCTTAGTTATTTCCCTGATTCTGTCATAAACTAGTCTAGCTTCTTGCTCTTATTGAACTACCAGCTTCCTTTTAAGCAAAAATCTCCATTGTTTTGGGCAGTACCCTTAGAGTTGAACATCCCCACACAGTTTCAAATAGCCAGCTCTTTCAGGCAAAAAAAAAAAAAGATGAAGGAATTCATCACCAAACCAGTATTACAAGAAATATTAAAGGGACTTCTTTGAGGGGTAAGGGGGATCAATAATAAAATGGCAAAAACTACATATCAATAATTACTTTAAATGTAAATGGTTAACTGCTCCAATCAAAAAACAGATGGCTGCCGAGATTGGTTTGGCTCAGTGGATAGAGCGTCAGCCTGCGGACGGGAAGGTTCCAGGTTCAATTCCGGTCAGGGGCATGTACGTTGGTTGTGGGCACATCCCCGGCAGGGGCGTGTGCAAGAGGAAGCTGGTCGATGTTTCTCATCGATGTTTCTAGCTCTCTAGCTCTTTCCCTTCCTCTCTGTAAAAAATCAATAAAATATATTTAAAAAAAAAAGGAAGAACTTTTAATTGCCCTGGTCCGTGTGGCTCGGTTTGTTGGATTGTCATTCTGTGCACCAGAAGGTCCCAGGTTCGATTCCCGGTCAGGGCATTTAGAACCTGGGTTGAGGGTTAGATCCCCACTCAGGGCATGTGGGAGGCAGTCAACTGATGTATCTCTTGCATATCCATATCTATCTTCCTCTTCAGAAAAAAAAAAATCCATTAAAAAATTGATGGAGTATCATCTCGTTTCATCATTCCCAAGATCATTAGTACAAATTACCAGGAATTGTCTAGATTTAAGGATAACAACAATAATGAAATGTTACCTCTGCAATCTTTTCTGGTAGAGGCATGTTGTGAATATCCATCTCAGATGCATTTACTATGGCTTTTGTTTTTAAGAGATAGCTAGATAGAAAATAGAAAATATTAGTATTAGACCACAGTTAAGATAATCAGTGAAGCAAACTTGCTCTCTAAAGCAGTATGTGTCAAGCAAAGACAGCCTTCTTACTGATTTCCATTTCAAGATTCACAATGTATTTTGTAGAAAAAACAAATTATCAATTAACAAATCATCAGAGAGACACTGTCCCCTTACCAGTCAGAAATATGTGAGATAAAATTAACCCAGGAGAAACTAGAAAATAAATCAGGGTCATAGGAATAATCCTGATGAGTATAAGCTTCACACCCCACCATTAGATCATTGAGCACAGCTACCGTGTTTCCCGAAAATAAGACATCCTCCGAAAATAAGACCTAGCGCATGGAAAGATCAGACATCCCCTGAAAATAAGACCTAGCACAACTTTGGGAGAAAAAATTAATATAAGACACTGTCTTATTTTCGGGGAAACAGGGTAGAAGAAAAAGAATCACATTATGAAAAATAACTACTTGGCTACCCAGAAGCTACTCCTCACTCAGTTCTTTGGTGTTAACAAAATTTTGTTTAGGGCAGCAGTGTGCCCGGTCCTAGGAGATGAACCACACTATTCTAAGCCCGTAGGCAATCTTATTCCCTACTGTCACAACTTGCTGTCCTAGCTTAAGTGATCATGTGACATAGTGCTAATAAAAGACATTCCCATTCTTCCCATATCCTTTTCCAGCCAGGTGGAGAGGATACTGTCCATGAATGTAATGCTTATAATTGCAGCAGCCATCTTGCATCCAAGAAAGGGCCAAGAGAACCAGAGATGATGATCCAGAGTTCTGCCAGGGCTGAGCCACTGGGAAACCCCTGGAGTGGCCAACTGCCCCCACCCCTTATGTGTGAAAGCCACTATAGTCAGGTTTTTTGTGACTGGCAACCAAATTCATCCTGATACAAACAGATACAGATTTATTATCTTTCCAGACTCATGCTACCGATATTTTCCTAATTTCTAGTTAATAAAAAAGAATATACGGACCTTTGAGTGCAACTCATTTTACAGATTAAGAAATGAGATAGAATCCCATAATGCTTTTAAAATTTATATTAAAATTTTTTGTTATTAGCAGAAACCAGGTTGGCTCAATGGATAAAGCGTTGGCTTGGGGACTGAAGGGTCTCGGGTTCGATTCCGGACAAGGGCATGTACCTTGGTTGCGGACACATCCCCAGTAGGGGGTGTGCAAGAGGCAGCTGATCAATGACTCTCTTTCATCAGTGTTTCTAACTATCTCTCTCCCTTCCTCTCTGTACAAAAATCAATAAAACATACCTTTTTTTAAAAATTAAAAAAAAAAATTTTTTTTGTTACTAAAAGTTTATTTACCCTAAACAAAATTCAATTACAGCTCTGCTGAAACAATAACTCATAAAAAATATTTGAGCTGAAACCGGTTTGGCTCAGTGGATACAGCGTTGGCTTGCGGACTGTAAGGTCCCGGGTTCGATTCCGGTCAAGGGCATGTACCTTGGTTGCGGGCACATCCCTCAAGAGGGGTGTGCAAGAGGCAGCTGATCGATGTTCCTCTCTCATTGATGTTTCTAACTCTCTGTCCCTCTCTCTTCCTCTCTGTAAAAAATCAATAAAATATATATTAAAAAAATATCCTCAAGTAAGGATTAACAAAAAAAGAACTAAAATATATTTTTTTAAAAAAATATTTGAGGTTACTAATAGCACATTTAGTTATCCCCCTCTTTAAACTTAATTCTAAATAGAAATTAAAGAAACTCGAAATTGAAGTACATCTCAAGTGTATATTTCCTTTTGAAAATTTGCATTGAAGAACAAATGGTATATCTAGTGCACACTGAACAACCTCATGGTAAAGGATGGGCTTTACTTAAGAGTTTTATTGCTTAGTCATCCATAACTCAGCTAGAGATACCTAGCTAAGCATATTAAAGAGAAAAGAGAAACTTTGTTTCCTTTATGAAAGGAAAATGAGCTTTAGAGTTAAGACACGGATTCAAATCTCAGCTCCTCTCTCTGAGACTCAGTTTTCTTATTTTATGAACTTAGTGAGATAAGCATAATGCCTGGCAAAATTAGGTTATCAATGGCAATTTTTGCTCTTTTGTTTTTAATGATTAAAAAAAGACATTTTTTTAACCTATTAATTTTGAGAGAAACATCAATTTGTTGTTCCACCTATTTATATATCCACTGTTTGATTCTTTGTTTGTTTTTAATAGATTTTTATTTATTTCAGAGAGGAAGAGAGAAAGAGAGACAAGCCCGAAACCTGGGTATGTGCCCTGACCAGGAATAGAAGCCTATATACCTTTTGGTATATGAGACAACACTCCAACTGACTGAGACACATAGACCAGGGATGATGTTTGTTGTTTTTAATTGATCACAGAGAGAAGAAGGGAGGGAAAGAGAGCTAAAATCTTTTTTATAAGAGACAGTGCCTGGCTTGAACATTCTTTGGTGGGAACATTTTGCCTTTTCTAGAAGATCTTATAAAATTTATTCAATAAAGAATATCTTTGTCGCTCTGGTTGGTGTGGCTCATTTGTTAGGAATCCTACTGTGCACGGAAGGGTTGCCAGTTCGATTCCCGATCAAGACACATGCCTGTGTTGCAGGCTCCATTCCTGGTAGGGGGCATGCAGGAAGCAGCGTATTGATGTTTTCCTCTCACATCAATGTTTCTCTCTAAAAATCAATTTCAAAAAAAGACTAAGTCTACTCACCATTCCATTTTGTCACTGGAAAGGCAGAAGTGACCTTTCAATGCTCCCAGGGCAGCATGGGTAGAATACAGATGGAAACCAATGGGAATCTCACAGGAACTACAGAATAAAAGGTTGTAAGTGCTGGAGGGGAAAAAAACACACCAGAATATGGGTGAGAAAGAAAATCTGATGTGCCACTCTCACATGGATGTCTTTCCCTCTCCCTTACACTCTCTCTAAAGACCAATGGAAAGCCCTGACTGGTTTGGCTCAGTGGATAGAGCCTGTGGACTCAAGGGTCCCAGGTTCAATTCTGGTCAGGAGCATGTACCTTGGTTGCAGGCACATCCCCAGTGGGGTGTGTGCAGGAGGCAGCTGATCTATGTTTCTCTCCAATCGATGTTTCTAATTTTCTATCCCTCTCCCTTCCTCTCTGTAAAAAATTAATAAAATATATTAAAAATCCATGGAAAAATATCCTCGGGTGAGGATTAACACAAACAAACAAACAACATAATTTTCTCCTTTTTCCTCTACTAGACATATCTTCTTAGCCTCACTTCACTTGCACAAGCCACTAGGGATATATGGCCCTCAAAGAGACCTTAAAATCTATCCACAAATACAACTCTTCCACCGATTATTGCATCAAGTTCGTAGAAGACAGAAACAGGTAAAAGGAACAAACATCCAATACATTGTATGGATGGAATAAACTTTCTTCCAGCGCAAGATCGCTCCTCAGTATCATCAAGTCAGGGACTGGAGGCCGACCAGGAATCCCAGCACGTACCTGCCCTTGAGTAAACCTTCGATGCCAACAAGGAAGGGAGCTTCCAGAACAACGTTATTTGTGACCCCTATGAAGAATTAAAAAGAAAAAGAAAAAAGGTGATCAAAACCAGCACCTGTGCGGCCTTGAAGGGAAATCCTACTCCTCCAGACAGGCTCATCGTGTCCGTAATAATCAAGAAAAGCTTCCCCCCATTTCCAGATATGAATTCCGTTTTCTTCCCCAACCGGCTCTCAGCCACCCGGGGAGAGGGCGGGAACGCCGCCTGCGCCTCCCCCTGCCGCCGCCCGCACTCACTGGAGAAAACCACGGCCCCGAGGGACCGCGAGAGGTCCCAGGCGAGGTGCACCGAGTCGCCGAGCACGGCGTGGCAGCGCGCGCACTGGAACACCGCGCACCGCTCGGGCCGCAGCCAGGCCGGCAGCCGCGGGCCGGACGGCGGCTCCTCCGTCCACAGCTCTGCGGAGCCGAGCGGCGAGGACCCCTTCACCACCTGCGTGTCCCACTCCATGGACGTCGCAAAAGAGGATCTGTCAAGTGTCTTAGTGCCATCCCAAACGTCAGCCTCCCGCAGCTTCGCGTACCGAGAGCGATGCCGCCGCGGCCGGGCAGCCATCTTCCCGCTGCCGTCGCCCCGCCGGGATTTCAAACGCGCGCGCGCGCCAGGCCCCGCCCCAAGCACGGGCCCTGCGTCCTCATTGGACACTGAGAGCCGGCCCTGAAGCGCAGGCCATGCCTGGACACGCCCTTAGGCGCCCAATCGCTTTGGTGAGGGGGGCGTGACAGAACGTGAGAGGACCAGCCTTTCTATTGGTCAACTCTGGGAAACCCCGCCTTCCATACATTTTTAGCCAATGGAAGGGCAGCAGTCTTCATTTAAACTGTGTATAAAGCTTGACTGGGTCAACGACTACAGGGCGCCTGAGTTTTGAACCGCGGGCCGGAGGTCGGCGGGTGCTGCTTCGCCTGGTTGCCTGCATTGCTAGTCGGGATGACCGTCCCCTCCCTCGAGGAGCTGGACTCCCTCAAGTACAGTGACCTGCAGAACTTGGCCAAGAGCCTGGGCCTCCGGGCTAACCTGAGGGTAAGGAGCCGGCGGTATCGAACGGTGGCGGGCGGGGTGGGCTGAGCGGCCTGGCGGGGCCCTGGAGGGGAGGGAGCAGGCATGGTTCTCGAGTATCCCTTCCACTGCAAACATTGGGCGGGAAGGGAACCGTATTCTTCCCCTGATTTTGAAGCTGACTTTTCTGGGGGCTCCCTGTAGGGGCTCCCATAGGCCTCAGCTTCAGAAGGATTTGTTTGGGTTGGTTTTATTGGAAGTAACTCTGTGACACTTCCCAGGGCATCGGTTAGGAAATGCAGGCCCAGAAAGCTCAAGGAGCTCCCTAATGCCCATTAATTGGTAAGCAGTCGCGGAAATACTGCCTTGGCTTTTGGAACATTCAACATAGTAGCACTTGTATTGTATAATTTGTACTAGCACCCAGAATCTCTTAATACTTTATTGGGGGGCCTGGAAGTAAAAATGGTTTTTAAGGGACCGTCCCTATGGACACATTTTTATAACTCAGCCTTGATCTGGATTGATCGTTCAGGTATTGATCACTGTTGTGGTAGTAAGACCAGTAAGGTCTTTGATTCTGAGGCTGCAAAATGTTGGAGGGAAATGTGGAGATTCACTTTGGGATGGGGTTTCTATATTAGATTCTAGTGGCATTTTCTTATATAATGCTAATGTATTCTCTGGAGATTTGTTCTTATGGCCTTTGGTTTAAACAAAATAATCAGTGCTCGGGTATCTGTTGTGGCAGAATAATAAAGGAGGGTCTTTGGAGATATTTCTGAGCTATGATGTTTAATGGTTCCCTAATACTTCATAAACAAAGCCGAATACCTCAGCTTAAATTCCTTAGGCTTTTTGCAATGTGGCTAGAATCTTTTATCCACGACTATATCGCAACTTGGTGCCTTTGTCCATAATATTGCCTTTGTTAATTTTGAACCTTCGGCCTCAGATCACCTCCTTTTGTCTTCTTTATCTGCATGAATCATTTCCATTTATTCTTTTCCCCTTTTTATTCAATATTTAATGTATTGAGGTGACCTTGGTTAATAAAATGAAATAGTCTTCAGGTGTACCATTCTGTAATACGTCAGCTGTATATTGTGTGTTCACCACCCCAAATTAAGTCTCCTTTCATCACCACTTACCTCCCCATACCCTCTTCTACCTCCCCCATCCCTCCTTTTCCCTCTGGTAATCACCATAATATTGTCTGTCTGAGTTTTTGCTTAATCCCTTCACCTTTTCCACCCAGCCCTGCAACTCCCCTCCTCTCTATCACAGTCCCACTGAACTGTCATCACTGACATGAGGCCCCATCCCCCTCTTCATTTCCTTAGCCACAGGTCCACCACCCCAGGAACCCCAGGGGCCCTCTGTGCTTTTAAACAGTTTATTTTTAAGTGCTGACTTTGAGCGCTTGCAGGCTTCCACCTTGTACTCTGTGTGTTATCTTCTCTACTAAAAGTTAAGTTTCTTGAACTGGAATCTTTTCATCCTTCCACCTTGGAAGCCTTCACAGTACTCCTAAGTCAGTACATTTTATGTGGGAGATGCTGAGTATTTATTCAGACTGTTATTTACGCCTACTTTTTGGCAGTGCACCACAGGATAGCAAGAGACTTACGGAAGAGGTTTCTTCCTGAGCTCAATGCTCTGACTGACAGGCCCCACAGCCACGTGGATCTCTAAGGAGCGATTGCAAGTTTAGATCTTTTTTTGAAAGTCCCACCGATCATTGTCTCTTGAGGCACCTGATCTGAGGTAGTAATTAATCATCTGTTTTCATAGAGATGGAGTAATACAGTATTTGTTACGATAGACCCCATAGCCTGCCTAGCACACAATATCTGGCACATAGAAGGTGTCAAATATTTGTTGAGAGGTACAATTCTCAGGCAAATTTGATCATACAAGGCTTTGTTATAGCCAATTATAAAAAGACACCTTTGACATGGATAAAGTTAAATTTAGACTAGTATTACATCCTAGATATTGTTAATTTTATTCAGTATCATAATGGTAGTGTGGCTGTGTTTCTCGTTATTTTTTTTTTACTAGTAAGTCCTTATCTCTTGGTAATACCAAGTATTTACAGGTGAAATGTTATGATGGCTTGGATTTGCTATAAAATTGCTGAAACTAGTCTCTACTTTTGTATGTATTTGAAATTTTCCATAATGAAAGAATTCTAAATTATTTATAGTTGGTACAGCCCAGGAGCTCCTTAAATCAATTGCCTTTTTAAATTCCAAGTACATAGCAAAAATGAATAAATTGCTCCAAGAAATTATCAAGATTTAGTTATTTTCTTTTCTTTTCTTTCTTTCTTTATTTTTTTAAGATTTAGTTATTTTAAAAAATGTAACAGTTACACCAGTTTGATAACACTCAGTTACCTGCTGAAATCTCTACCTAAAGGGGAAGCCCAGCTGTGTTCTCTCACATCCTGAGCTTCCTCAGCTGCGTTTTCATTGCCTTTCCTTGTCTGACTTCACGCTGCTGTGAAATCTGGGAGGGAAGGGAGCAGTTCTGTTTCAGTCTTCGTTTTATTCCCAGAGCCCGCCACTCAAAGAGCATTTGGTGAATACAAGAACGGAAAGAAATGTTCAATGTATCTGTCTTGCTTATTTGTTTTTTGGCTCTCCTGTTAAGATCTTTAACTTTCCTGCAGGCAGGCAAACTGCTAAAAACCTTGAAAGCCCACCTGAAAGGGGAAGCAAGAAAAGAAAATGGAAAGCAGGTAAGTAACGTTTTTCAGCACCTGTTTAGCAAAACAATCATGTTTAGATGATGAATGATAAACAAATTAATGATGTTGTTTAAGACATACTGTTTATTACAAAAAAGATCATGATTGGTTATGGTGAGTCCTTTTGTAAAAACTATTGGTTATAGCCGAAACCAGTTTGGCTCAGTGGATAGAGCCTTGGCCCTCAGACTGAAGAGTCCCGGGTTCGATTCCGGGCAAGGGCATGTACCTTGGTTGCGGGCACATCCCCGGTGGGGGGGTGTGCAGGAGGCAGCTGATCAGTGTTTCTCATTGATGTTTCTAACTCTCTGTCCCTCTCTCTTCCTCTCTGTGAAAAATCAATAAAATGTATTTAAACAAAAAAAACTATTGGTTATAAATGGTGAATGTCTTACAGCAAGTAATCTATTGAATAAGATGTTCCTGTACAATTGCAAAAGTTTACTCAGTTGCCAAAAGTTATGAGATAACTTGTTATGAGTAGGGAAGGAACTAGATTCAAAGTTGGAAAAACCCAGGTTAAGTAGCAGCTTTGTCATTTTCTTGTGTATTACCTGAGAAAACTCAAACTCCTTGATTTTTAGTTTCCTGTTCTGAGCTAAAGAGACTTGTAGCAAATTGTAAAGCACTGCTGATGGCAGAGGCTGCTTTAAATCTACACCACAGGTTTCTGAGAGGGCATGCGGCCTAACAGGACCAATGAAGGCTTCATTAGAGCCAGGTGGCTTCACTTGAAATAGGGAAAGTGTTGGAAGGCCTTACCGAACTGGGCCTTGGAGAACATCTGTTATATATCTGGAAATGAAGATAAATATAAACATGAACTGAAAATCTAACTTCCTCTTTTCTGACTGTAAGTCTCTCTAACTGTGTTCCAAGTTATAAGCATTTAAAATTCCTTTGATTCCAGGTTTTAATTAACTAAAAATAGACAACAAAATTAATAGTTTTTACATCAATTAAATAATTTTATTTGTGTGTGTGTATTTTTAAATGATTAAGGATACATGATTATAGTTCTATCTGAACCTGATTTGATTAGTAATTGGTAAATTAAATTTAAAATAATCTATCATGTTGAAACTGGTTTGGCTCAGTGGTAGAGCGTCGGTCTGCAGACTGAAAGGTCCCAGATTCGATTCCGGTCAGGGGCATGTGTGTTGGTTGCGGGCACATCCCCAGTGGGGAGTGTACAGGAGGCAGCTGGTCAATGTTTCTCTCTCATCAACGTTTCTAGCTCTCTTATCTCTCTCCCATCCTCTCTGTAAAAAAATCAGTAAAAATATTTAAAAATAAATAAATAAATAAATAAAATCTATCATATTTTAAATTCAACATCTCAGGAGCCATTCTTTAAAAAATAAATATTTTGCCAAAACCGGTTTGGCTCAGTGGTAGAGTGTCGGTCTGCGGACTGAAAGGTCCCAGGTTCGGTTCCGGTCAGGGGCATGTACGTTGGTTGCGGGCACATCCCCGGTAGGGGGTGTGCAAGAGGCAGCTGGTCGATGTTTCTCTCTCATCGATGTTTCTAGCTCTCTCTCTCCCTTCCTCTCTGTAAAAAATCAATAAAAATATATTTTTAAAAAATAAATATTTTATTGATTTTTTTTTATGGAGAGGAAAGGAGAGGGAGAGAGAGTTAGAAACATTGATGAGAGAGAAAAATCAATCAGCTGCCTCCTCCATACCCCCTCTCCCCCCACCATGTGCCTGCAAGCAAGGTACATACCCTTGACCGGAATCGAGCCTGGGACCCTTGAGTCCAAAGGCCCACACTCTATCCACTGAGCCAAATGGGGCAGGGAAGGAGCCATTCTTTTTGAAAAAGTTTCACAAGAG